CGAAAGCACGGGAACCACTTGTGAAGTCGCCGCCAGAAGCACCTCAACAAGCCTTCAATTGTGTGAAATTCCGTCCCGGTGAAGCCCACACTGTCCATGCAAGCTGAGAGGCAACTGCACTCACAAGATGTTACAAATAGATACAACCCCAGCAGACTTACCCACAAAACTCTACCAAGCTGCCCATGCACCTTCAAGTACATTGTAGTATAATATAGTATGGTACACTATAGTATAGCATGGTATATACTGTATACTGGTATAATAGTAAGATATAGTACATGAGCCGGAACCTCAGCAACGAAGGCGAAACCCAGGTAGCCGAACACAGGTATTTTGCTGGAACCGTGAAGGATCGTAGGTTGAGTCGGGCTGGTGGTTCGGCCACCAGGCATCCGGATTTAGAGGGTGCGGCTTACGACTTGGGGCGAGGGTTTGCAGTTGCAGCTTGATCCTACCCAGCCTCGTAGTCACGGATATCTGATACCACTTCACGTAAAGGTAAACATAGTACGCTCAAATTGAGGCCACGCATCAACGAGAAGATGGGGCCCTAAAGTAGATCCTAAACCCTAGTAGCAATCCGGAAAGCACACGAGTTCTAAACCAGGAGCCCAAGCTGACTCCCAGTTTCCATGAATCAATAATGGGCCCCGTAGCAATGGTAGAGCCCTTCATGTCTATAGGGGGGCCAGGATCCATGCAAGCCATCAAGCTTTAAAAACCAAACCCGTGAACCCTAAACTCCCAACCCCTAAACCTAGGAACCCGTGTCGGCGGCGCCGAGCGGCACGGCTTTGGAGTTGCTCCACCGCTACGCCCAGTGTGCTGGGAGCCCGGCTTTGTTCTTGAGGATCTGTGGGGGTTTGGGGTTGAGGGCCTCTCAGTAGGCTATACTGCTTCTATGACTCTTGGTATCCTAACTTTGTATGAAACGATGAGCACTCCTATTCATGTTTTCACGACGGTTACGACGATTTGTAGTTTCTTCCTCTGCTTCGCAGTCAAATGCGGGGGTGGCCTTCGACATCAGCGTCTTGTACAGTAATCTGGCTGTTGTAGAAAGTTCCTACTGGTAGTACTCTGCACCCACCAGAGCAGAAACCACCGGCACTTGACAGAAACGAAGGCCACAGCTCAGCGCCTCCCACGGTTCACCTCGTCTAGATTGCATCAAGTTTTGTTGAAATGGGCTTGGAGGCGAAAAATCCTAGCAGCCTGCAAAGTCCAGCTTACCCCTTCACTACGGAATATACCTCAACTAAGGAGAGCTCCGTCATATAAGCAATGAAGAAAGCCCTCCAAACTCTGAAACCCGAAAGCGGCAAGCCCTAAACGACATGTAAGAGGTTGTTTATCTTTCCCTGGGGCTCCAGTTTCCTAAATCGTCGGCTATTTTCCCCATAGAACGCTAGGGATCACAATAGCCCAAAAGCCTTGATATATGAGTCCTTAGATCCCTAGGGTAATCTGTAACCGGTTGACAAAATGACCCAAAGCCCCAAAACCCCAAACCCCTTAAGCCCTAAGAGCCCAAACCCTTAAACCCTCAGAGCCCAAACCCCTAAACCCTTAACCCCATATGTGCCTTATATCTGCTGCCCTAGGGGCAGACGCAAAAAGGGGCTCAACAAAAAACAGAAAAAAAACTTAGCCCGGTGTTTCAGGTTTGCCTCGGTTCTCCAGAGGATCACTGGGCCTCGAGATGGCAAAGTCTGCGTTTTGAAGCGCCCCTTATAGGGCCTTCGAGGTGTAGATGGGTTCGAGGGTTTAGGGGTTTAGGGTTCTGGCGTTCTTTCGGTTGGCTGTTAGGACTTTAACTTTTTGGGTTTCTATATGAACTATAACATGGAGGCTAAAGGTTCAACTTCCAGGAGGGGTTCAGGAGTCAGCCAAGTGTAGATGGGTTCAAGGGTTAAGGGGTTTCGCGCTTACAGTGTCGTTACAAGGCGCGTTACAAGGCGTGACTGTTCGTTTATAGGGTTCGAACAGGTTCCCAGAGATGTTGATTGGTTTTCCGTTGCATCTTTGCCAGGCTTTACGGGGCTTGTACAGGTCCTTCTGGGTCTTGATTGATAGGGTTGCGAATACTTAATAACCTTTGGGAGACCTTTTAATTTCCATTAATTATGGTTCCTACCGGGATAGGATGCCTTTTCATGAATACTTTCAATTGCCCCGAAACTACAACCCAGTAACATGTTACCAGTATCACCGCCATTACGACTATCAGTACCACTAAACTAGTATCATTGTCACTACGATCGCTACTGTTATCACTAGTCTTCTGAGGTTTTGATCATTGTGCATCACCATTCTGACTACTGTAGATTAGATGCAGCAGATTTCACATTTCCAGCTGTGCAGCAGAAAGCACAGTGATGGACCATCCCCTGCTTTGAGGTTCATGGTACTTAGTAACTAGGGAAACTATACTTATAATTGGTTATATCCCCAGTTAAGGTACTTATAAATGTACTTACTAAGTCCCATGAACCTCCAAGTGCAAACTTGGGATTCAGGATTTAAGGTTCAGAGCTTCAGGTTGAGGGCTTGGGGCTTCGGATTGCGCGTTTAGGAAGTCTATAGGGCTTAAGGTTTAGAACGCGGAGTTTAGAGTTTAGGATTTAGGTTTCAGCGCTGGTAGCCCGACAAACATAGAAGCCCTTCAGACTTTCACTACAGTGGGGTGTTGGCGAGTTTCTATTGTAAAGTTGCTTCGGTGAGCCATCTTGAGGGTGTGGATGTTTGCTGCCGGGTGTCAACTGAACCCTCCCACTTTAAATGCTGAAACCTCCATGCTCTCAGACCCAAAAAGTATAATGGAATCTCAAGAGACCCCAACCCTAAAATCAAGCAGCCTCAGCCCCAAATCAAAAAACAATAGAATCTCTGGAGCCCCCAACCATATGATCAAAGCCCTGCATAGGATTCCGTGTCCCTGAAATCCCCAAAGCCTCACGCCCACAAGCTCCCAACCCTGAGCCCTGAAGCGCTGCACCGACTGAAACCCCGAACACCCGGAATCTCAGAGCCCTGAACCCCTAATGAGTTGATTTCACTACATAGGCACTACAACCCAGTCGCTAAACCTAAACCCCATGGCCCCTACAGAACGAACCATGTAGAAACCTTCTAAAACGATCAAGAACTTTCAGCAAAGGTCTCCCTCGCACAAAGCCTGCGCCGGGGGCCCGGGATTGCAGCTACACAGGGGTTGACTTTAAGACTGTTGCGTGTTTCTGTTGTTTGGTCCGTTATTGGTTTGCAGTGTTTGAGAGGCATCTCCAAACACACACACACACACATATATATATATATATATATATATATATATGTATATATTATATATATGTAATATATATATATATATATATATATATATATATACATTTTTATCTAGTTAGGTACTCAAGTGTTACAGTAAAACCAATATGAGTTAAGTTATTAGCTTTGTATCTACTTACATATTTCTGTATCTGCTGTATATCTATGAGTTTAGTTCTTTCGTTAATTCTGTAGTTCGTTGCTTCGTCAGTTCATCCACTCGCTAGTAAGTTAGCTAGTTAGCTCTTGGCGTTCTTCTGGTTGGGCCTTTAGACTTTAACTTTTTGGGGTTTCTATATAAACTATATAATAAGGAGGCTAAACGTTTAACTTTTTGGGGTTCAGAAGTCAGCCAAGAGCTAGTTAGATACTTGGAAACATCGCTGCTTAGCTGGCGTGCTTACCTTCTAGTGTGGGGGACCGAAGATGAGGGGTTAACATGAACATATAGGAGAGCCAGAAAACTAGGCGTTGCAGAGTTTGTTTTGGTTTCTGAGGGCTTGCTCATGCTGTACAAGATGTTTTTAAGATTGTCGTTCACAAAGGGTTTCTTTCTCGAAGCGCTGTTCTAGTCTATAGTAGAGTGTGAGTGTGACTACACGCTTTGGCGGGGAGGATTCAGCGAATTTGTGGGTGGGAGTTTGAGGGTTTGTGTGTTTTGGCTTGAGGCCTAGCTTAGGGTTGAAGGCATTTTGTCTGCCATCTTAGCTAGTAAGGCTCAGGTGTAGGATGGTTTGGGCAAGGAGCGCATTCCGAGGGGTCTGGCGGTGAGTAGGCCCGAAGCTGCGAGAATATGGTACTCCTTCGATGTGTTCAATAAGTGCGTTAAGGGCATAATGTTCAACATGATGAGGTTGCAAAACACCTCCTTACCGTTCGCAAATGCAGAAATGGCTGGCTGCAAACTCAAAGAGAGAGACTTCAGCTGAAACCACTTAGTGGAGCCAGGCCGTAAGCTTTGAAACCACAGGGTGCAAGGCCCCAAGCTTTCAGGCCGCGAACACCGTCCGGCCATGGACCAAGGGCCCATTTGGGGGGTCTTTAGGGGACTTAGTAAGTAAGTAGTGAGTAGACTTATAAGTACCCTAAAAGGGACCCTAATTGGGGTTAAGGTGCTTATTAGTCCCTAAAATAACCAGTTACTAAGTCCCCCGACCCTCCAAGCAACAGTTGCATTTTATTTCTGCCTCAGCCTTCGGGCACGAGCCGCGACGGCAATTTCAGGCAGTCTAGTAGAAGTAGCAAGCTTCGATCGCAAGCAGTTCTCGCCCCAAGGGTCCAAAGGACCCAATAATTAGGTACTCGGTTTTAGGATAGTAGTTACGTAGGTTAGGATTTTGGAGAGTATATGATTATTAGATACGTGGACCTCTGGGTCCTAAACCCTACACCCTAAACCGCTAAACCAACCGTGGAAATGAGCCCTTTGAAGCGGGATCGGTGTAGGGATTTGGGAACGGGGTTGGTTCCCAGAGATCCCAATGTCCCTTCAGTTTGTTGAATATACCTTAAACCATATTAGGGCTTATTCTATTGGGATTCGGTGTTATTTCGGGCTCCTTATCACTACTATAAGCGACTGCATGATTGCATAGACTTAACAGCAGCAGCACGCACTCTCGTCTCGAGCCACCACATGGCAGCTCCACCCGGAGCAGATGCAAGCTGCAGATATGCAGCATGATGGCGCAGGATGCAGCCCAACCAGTGCTTACAAGGTGCGGGGCAGCAAAATTTGGGAGGCTCGGGTAACCCAAGCCGCCGCTTTTTTTGCGATTGAACTACGAATATACAACGGTGAGCGACAGTAAACAGAAACACGATCGTAGGGAGTAGTTTAGGGCTGCAGTGGCAACAGTACAATCTATGTTCTTCATTGTCCCTCCCGGCATACAGACAGCTTGAGAAAGTCCATTGCCAACTCTCCTTGATGCACCAATCGTTTGCCGTGAATCCAGAGAAGTGAACATTGAGAGCTCCCCGGCGCAGAAGCGAAGCCTCACATACTTTAGCTGGGCTTTGTGCACAAGAACAGCGCAAATAAACAGGACAATAACAACTCTGATTGAATTTTTTGATTATTATGATAACCATAGTAGTAACATACATATGTTTTGCAATTACGTAATGATATTCTCGCCTTGTCTAAATATTCAGGCACCTGCTTTGTTCTATAGCCTAGTTGTTGCTTTCTGCAGGCTCATCGTTTCCCCAAGGACTTTTACCCCAAACAATCTACTCCTCCACGTACTTGCGTACATTGCAGCTATGTCCCGACAAGCCGCATCATTAACGGAATCTCGCGGCTTGAAGAGCATATTAGAAGAGCATAAAGCCCCTAATATCACTGTGCCAAAAACAGCCCTATCCTTTAGAAGGGGCCCCCACCCTGTAATAGTGGTATAATAGGAATATAATAGGGCCCTTATCTCATCCTTATAGTCACTATTGCAGGGTGGGGGCCCCTTCTAACCCATCCTAACCATGCAGGCTCCTGGATTAGGTACTTTAGACCGTTAAGTTTTGCAGTTTCAGTGTCCAAATTTACCCCAAGCTTAGCCCTAAACCCCCCCCCAAACGCCTGAACCCCTGAACCCCTAAACGCCTGAACCCAAGCGCTAAAGGTGTGAGTGTCCAACGTAACCCCAAGGAAATTCCAAGTTGTTAGGTTTCTATAATGAACCCTACTATTTGCTTAAGAACCACCCAAAAAATAAAAAATATATAATCGCTATAGTATCCCTATAAGGAATATATTTTTTATTTTTTGGGTGTTCTTAAGCAAATAATAGAACCGTTGTCGCAAGCCGAAAGCCTACGAACCTAAGGGTAAGTCGTTGCCTAAATTGGGATCATGTTTTGGGGGACCTAAACAGGGACCCTAATTTAGAGAGCTACCCCCAGAACCCTAAACCCTATGCATCAATCAACACATTCTAAACCCCAAATCCCTGTCCGGGAGTCTGTTTTAGCACGAGGTGGTGGTGCGTGTCCGCCCATCCAGCGACAGCCAGGAGGACACTACTCCCAGACCCCAGCCTATTTCTTTCGGGCTTTCTTCAAGAACGCACGCAGGAAAGGGGTTTCTGAATCCTCAGCCCACTCTCGAAGGGGTTTATTCGCCTTAGAACAAAGGCTCGTGTAGAAGAAAGACCCTCGCCCGAACGCCCTTCAACGGCTCACAACTCGCGAGAACCCCCCGGAGGACCCTAAAACCCCGAGCCCTAGACCTGAGCCTTAAAAACCTAACGCACGGGCAAACACCCTAATTAGGCTTGGGCTTTAAGGGTCCACATAGGATTTGCGGTGCAGGGTTTAGGATTTAGAAAACATAGGCGCCTCAATCCTTGTCAACACTTCCTGCAACCCGGAAGTTTCTCAGCAAAACCGGATCCAAGCCCCAAACTTTAAAATCCAAAGCGCTGGAGTCCCGAAACGTTCAAACGGTTCCCAGAAAAAAAAAGACGTGCCCTAAAATCCTGCACAGACCCTTTAAGATCCTCAAATCCTAAACCCCTGAACCTGAAATCCCTAAACCCCTAAATCCCCAAACCATTAAGCCCATTAAACCCCCATTGCAAGCCCTGCCCACTATCCCTAAGGGTCCATGTACTCAAACAGTATATACATTGGCCTCAAAGTAGTCCCTATATAGGTACATTGGGGCCAATTGTATACACTATTTGGGTACATGGACCCTTAAACCCTGAACCCTACACCCCTATAGGAACACTTATAGGAATCCTTATAGGATCCCTTGAAGGAACCCTATTTGGGTACATGGACCCTTAGTTCAGGACCCCGAGGTGGTCCAGGTCCTCTCCAAGACGCGGCTGCGGGTGCAGCGCCTCGATCAGGACTCAACTGGCGAGACCTGCCCTTAACGGGGTTTACTAGTGAACCCCAGTATAGGTATAGACGTCAGACAAAGCAACCAATGCTAGAAAGCGCCATGAATCAAGTTGGAGTGCTATCGTTGGAGTCCCATACGGTCTAAGGGGTTGGGGATCAGGGTTAGGGGTGCTTCACGAAAGCCTACATTGGGTGGTTGTCAAAATTATGGTCCGCTTCTGGCCTAATATTTAGGGTACCCTTGACAACTACCCACATAGGTATCCATCTTTAGATACATACTGACCAAGAGCGGCAGTACCTGCAAAGCTTGCCTTCTTTGCAACCAAAGTGCAGCGCAATGATCGTGTCGAAAGCACTTCTGTCCTGAGCACATAATGCGAGCTATGATGGCTTGTAACCAAGGGGTTTATATACATTTCCATTAGAGAATGAGGCCGCAAAAGACCATCCTAGTATTTTCTTTGGAGACCTGCTTCAATTATCGTAGTATATATATATATATATATATATGGACCCTCTGGGTAATGATTTGGGTAATGACACGGTCGCCCAAGCTAACTTTTTAAGCCCTATAGACTATGGATCCTGCACCCACATCCCAAAAGCCAAGAAAAACAAGAAACAAATCCTGCCAGCTCGCTCGCCAAGAAGAACCACACAAAGCCCCAAAACCCTAAACCCCAAACCCCTAAATCCTACACCGCCTAAACCCTAAACCCCTAATACTAACTGAGCCCCTAAACCGCAACACCCCAAACCGGAAAACCCCTAAACCCTGAACCCTATACTAACTGAGACCCTAAACCCCAGAACCCCAAACCCTAAACCCCTAAACCCTGAACCCTATACTAACTGAGCCCCTATAAACCCCAGAACCCCAAACCCTAAACCCCTAAACCCTGAACCCTATACTAACTGAGACCCTAAACCCCAAAAACCCTGAACCCTATACTAACTGAGACCCTAAACCCCAGAACCCTGAACCCTATACTTAACTGAGACCCTAAACCCCTAAACCCTGAACCCTATACTTAACTGAGACCCTAAACCCCTAAACCCTGAACCCTATAAAGCCCTAAAGCCAAAGTTTCTCACGAATCTCGGAGGAGCCTTTGGAGTTGCAGCTGGACCATGTCTTGGACTCTCCAAGCAGCCAGGACTGCCTCTACTTAAAGGCTCATGGGACTTAGTAAGTAAGCTCCTTAAAGGGATCTCTAGGGATCCTTAAGGGGATCTATAGGGTTTAGGGTCTACTTAACGGCTCATGGGACTTAGTAAGTAAGGTTATAAGTAGGTTATAATTAGGATACCCCCACTTAGGGGACTTATAACCCCAATTATTACCTACTTGCTAAGTCCCATGATCCTTCAAGTACCAGCGCTCTACAAAAGGGGGGCTCCAGCCATTCAAGAACCCTTACTAAGTCCCACGAACCTCCAAATACCTGTATGGACTAAGCCCCAAAAGACCAACCCTAAGTCCTAAACCCATACTTGGAGGGTCGGGGGTTTTGGTACTTATAAGTCCCTAAAACAACCAGTTACTAAGTCCTCCGACCCTCAAGTTCAGCTTCACGCAGCATGTCAGGAAGACGCCTTCTCTGCGGTGCGGAGCCTGGGCTGCGAGATGCGGTAAGAAGCCATGATGCGGGCTCTTGGGGTTTAGGGTTCCCTCAAAGGGGTCTACAATAAGATAGTAAGGGATATACATAAGGGTAACTATAAGGGATAGGGTTTAGGGTTTGGGTTTAGGGTTCAGGGTCTGTGGACCGTATTGCGAAAAAGACTGATCGTGAGATGAACCAGAATGCTAGTGCCACGAGATTCCAACGCAGCAAGCAGCGAATGTGGAATGGACATGCAGCTATAACAGACAAGCACAGGGTCAAATCCATTCTGAAGATCATCATCGTCATCACCCACCATCATCGTCATCGTCGTCATGATCATCTTCACTGCTGCTGCTGCTGCTACTACTACTACTACTACTACTACTACTCCTATTACTTCTACTCGTACTCGTACTCGTACTGATACTACTACTACTACTACTACTACTACTACTACTACTACTACTACTACTACTACTACTACTACTACTACTACTACTACTACTACTACTACTGCTCCTGCTAGTGCTGCTACTACGAGGCCCCCGCCGGCGGGGACGACGACGACGACAGGGCTCGAATCCTTCATGCCTTTGAAGCCCAGTCACGAAAGCAAAGCCCAAGCCTTCCACCCCTCCTGCCCACACCCCCGGAGGATCTAGAAAGTAGATCCCAAAAATTTGGGGCCCTACACTACTACTGGTACTTTAGAGGAACCCCCATTAAGGGATCTACTTTTTGGATCCTCCCGGGTCTGGGTATGGCCTTAAGCTCCAGGTTTCTGGTCTCAACGGGAGCGCTCTGACTCTCAATCGTGCCAGTGACGGTTTATTTCGGAGGCCCAAGCAGGGACCCACGACGCAGATTCCCCATACCCTAAGCCCTATGTAAAGACATATGCACATATATATATATATACACATGTACACATATATACATATATATATATATATATACATGTATGTGTGCGAGGTTTGACTGTGTTTTTGCAGTGTACGTGTATGTGTATACACATACACATGTTATATATATATATATATATATGTATATACATTACATATGCTTGGACTCCTACTCATATATATATATATATATATGTATATATATATATATAACAAGCCAAAGCTCCAAGGAGTATCGTGGCGCGGGTCCTGGAAGGTGCCAATGGCACGATTCTAGCTTATGGCCAGACTGGAAGCGGCAAGACCTACACCATGACAGGCCAGCGACATTCTATCCGAATTGGTTTTGATAATAAGGTTTTTGATTCACAAGCTCGCAGTGCGCAGTCTAGATTCTAGAATTGATTTATTCCACAATGTGTGTAATGCTTCTGGGATGGCAGACTATTCCACTCATTTGGGCCACTACGTTCGGGTTTGGGGTGCTGGGCTTAGGCGTTTGGAGTTTATACTGGCTCAAGCTTCAAATTAGCGCTTCAAATTAGCGTTATGGTATGGAGCTTTTGGGGTCAAGATCCCTCGTCAGGGAGGTGTTTGTAATCCTTCCATATCTGGAAGGTTAACTTTTCGGGGAAGCAGCTAGTTGTCTTGATCTGTTGTGAAGAATTGCGGTGAAAAACATGTCCCTTAACGGAGCTCTTGTTCGGAATGCTTTCGTCCGGGATTTTTGGAGTCAATGATATTCTGAAACTCCGATGCACTTGCGACGGTGTGTGGTTTAGGGGTTAGGATTGCGGTGTAAAGAAAGGCCGCTACCTGTAAGCAATCACAAAACACCTACGAAAACCAGCGCTTCCCTACTTTACAGCCAACGAAACCGAATCGCCGAAAGGCCTTCCGTGACCAAGTAAGACGACTCATTTTGCGAACCCAGTTGTGCAATCCCCGCAAAGAAACTGTTTCTCCGTTCATATCTTCGGCCCCTAAACCGAGCTTGAAAAGGGGGAGATGACCCTCAAAACAAAGGTGCATTTCCCTTTTAGAGGTACCTTGCTTACTCTGGGCAAGCCCGTAAGCCCTCAACCTAAACCCTCTCAGCCCTACTCCGTAAGCCCTACCTAAACCCGATAGCCCTAAAAACTCCAAAGGTGAGGCCTCGCCTTGCGCCCGCGGCCTCATTCCGAGAACGCTGGAGCAGCTCTTTCAAGGCTTTCATTCGTTCCTCATAAATATATAGAAGCCTTATACAGGAACCTTGCAAAGCCTACGGGTGTTCGATCGGGGGTTCAGGGCTGTTAGGGTAGCGTCGAAGGCACGGAGTCTGGTTTAGGTGCTCTTTGCAGGATCAGTTCTTCGCGAAGCTGAGATGGTGAGTCAGTGAGTACTATCGTGGACAGAGCGCACATGTTCAAAGCTGGAGGGGTCGGGTAGATTACTTGAGAAGTTGGGGAAGTTCAGTTCGCGCGTTTCATCCGCTTTGCACAATCCTGGACAATCCTTTGATTCCAAGTTTGTTTTTACAATGTTTTACTTCAGAATCAGGATACCGGATACCCATTACGGGAGGAGTGTTTCTGACAGAGCGGGTAAAATCAGTCTCAGGGTGTCGGATTTAAGGTACTTTGGGGTCTTTGGGCTTGCGTGCATCTGGGGGTTGAGGCAGGGGAGGTCTGACCCTGTTCCTTCGAGCCCCACCATGTTTACCTGGAGGTTCATGGGACTTAGGAAGTAAGGTTATGAGTACCTCAATGGGAGTTATACTTAATCATAAGTGTAGTTACCTTAATCAGAACCCTATAGTTACTAAGTACCATGAACCTCTAAGTACGCCTTGGAGTTTTCGTCCGGGCCCGCATGATCGAGTTCAGGATGGAGGGGGGTGGCGGCTCGAAGCCATCGCATTGGCCGTGGGGCTCAACCCGAAGGGTCCAAGTACTACTATAGCAGGTATTTGGGCCCCAAAAGTATATACTATACCATTACTTGGACCCTTTGGCAAGCCTTTAGCCACAACATTGGCGCCTGGGTTCCTTCCTGCAGTGTCTTGAACAACCACCGTATCGGGGAAGGTCCCGTGAAGGCTGTCAGAAGGTGGAGGCATGTGACGGTGGCGCAAAGTGCCAGCACTCGATCGTTTGAACCCAGAGGCACCCATTTCGTTCGTAATTTCGAATCCACAAGCCCCATGCGAAAAGGAGGTTTACAGTTTAGGGTTCGGGATAATGTCCAAGATCATTCCTCAGGTTAGCTTTCCTTGTTATTGCCATCAAATATCCCACAACCCTACCCCTCCTTGAAATATTCAGGCCCTTCCCCAGAGAACCCAATAACCCTTAATCAAGGAATATACCTTAGATCATTATATGAAGGCCCCGATTATTTCAGGTATATTCCTTAATTAAGGGGTATTAGAATCCCCTAAACCCTAAACCTCTTTAGATCCCTTTAAAGGAACCCTTAAGATCCCTTAAGGGAACCCTAGGGTATACCCCTTAATTAAGGGGTATTGGGTTCTCTGGGTCTATTGCTGGAACAGCAAGCGAGAACCAGAAGCAGGAAAGCAGGGCACAGAGCAAGGCGATCCCCAAACAGTACGCCCCAAAACCACGTGTATGCGTGTAGACGTACTTATAAAGATCATAGATTTCAACTACACATCTATATATATATATATATATATCTAAAGACTGTGTATATGCATGTATTTATATACGCTTATGTGTATGTATAGTTATATAGATTATTTTTCTCATTTACAGGATACGGCCTTCTCAAGTAGGGCTATCTAATCAAGGCAGGCAAGCATGCATACCTACTTAAAGGGATGCGATAGCCTCACTTCTAACTACCCAGGAACCTCCAAGTTAAGCTTTTAAGCCCTAGACCCCTACATCCGAAATTCCGGCCTGAAACCTGAAATTCGACACCCAAACTCAACACCCAAATCACAAAGCAGAGGTTTGCAGACGGATTGTGCACGAACAATAATGTGTGGAGCATTGCCTGTATAAGTAGAACCGAGAATGTCCGCAGCAAATCCAAAACACCAAACCTTCATTCATCTCTGCAAACCCCTTGCTGTAAAGCGCTTATAGAGGCCCCCGATACGATACAGAAGCCAGAATTTTCACCAATATGATTCCTGATGGCACGCCATTGTATTTTTACGATAAGACTCCCCGGAACATCTAGAAGGCTCTGTCGCAACTCCTAACTTACGAGAATGTTCGAAATCCTAAACTCTGGATCCCAACGAAACCAACCAAATCCTTAAACGCTAAACCTAAACCCTACCATAAAGCCCAAAGCTTAACTCCCAGAGATCCCAATACCCTTTAATTAAGGAATACACCTTAAATCATCATAACAATAATAACAATAATACCAACAATAATAATAACAACAATAAGAAGAAGCCCCCTAGTATTTTCGGTATATCTTCCATCTTTAGGGGGGGGCATTGGGTTCTTTGGGTTCCGGGAGTTTCTAGCACTTGAAGGATCATGGGACTTAGTAAGTAGGTTATAACTGGGGTTATAGGTCCCCTACGTGGGGTTATCCAACTTATAACCTACTTATAACCTACTTATAACCTTACTTACTAAGTCCCATGAGCCTTTAAGTAGTCTTCCCCTGTCCCAGACCCCCAAAAGGAGGATCCCAAAAAGTAAACCCCAAAACCCTATAGATCCCTTAAAGGAGCCCTATAACCTTACTAAGTCCCATGAGCCTTTAAGCAGGCCTGGAGACTGATCTGAGCCGTCGGGAGACCACCATCCAGGCAGGTTGATCGGGTCTAGTTCAGGGTTTCGGATTTAGGGTTTAGGGTTTAGGATTTAGGGTTTAGGGTTTAGGGTTTCGGGTTTAGGGTTCAGGGTTTAGGGTTTAGGGTTTAAAGGGAACTCCAGAAAGTTGGAATATGGTTTCAGGGTAGGATACCTTATAATCTACCATGAAGGGTTTAGTATAACCATATTCCAACTTTCTGGCTTTTACTGTATCGGGTCTAGTTTAGGGTTTAGGAGGTGATATCTCTTTCTGCGAGATATGATGCTTATATCTTGGTGTTTTTGTTGGGTAGTTATCCGTTTCAGGAGATATGTTGCTTATGTCTTGGGGAGACTTGCGTGTTAGGAGTGTGTTTGTGAATGTTGGAAGTGCTTGTTATTTTCAGGTGGATGGGGTTTGTGGTGCCCTTCAGATGTTTCAGTTGGGCACTGTGCCCACTCGGTAGCAGTTGGATAATATTCATAATATAGATGTATTAGGGTCTGAGTAGTAGCCTCGTTATAGACTGCTATTGTATGGGGGGGGCAGTACCCAAGGTTTCAGAGATGTCCTGCTTCTGCTGCCTGTTATTGGGTTCTTAGGCGCGTTGTTGCACAAGCTTCACTATCAGGGGTTGATATGGGAGGAAACAAGAAATCCGGATACCTGCCTTGTCCTGCCTTGCTTACCCTACGGCCTTGCATACCCCCAAAACCCCATTCTAGTAAGGCCCGATGTGACTACGCAGGCTTCCTGAAGAGCCCTAAACTACCCCTAAACCTAAACCCTCAAGCCCAAGCTCTAAACCCTTAACAAGCCCTAAACCTTAATCTTACACCCCTAATTAACCTCTTCCCTATACCTAGGTGTCCTTCCTTGAGATCTACGCGGAGCGCGTCTTCGACTTGCTGACAGGGCCTCGGCCAAAGAACGTGGAGTGCTTAGTTGCTGGGTCTGGAGCTTAGGGTTTTGGGTCTTAAAGGCTTAGCTTTCAGGGTTTGTGGTTTAGGGTTTTGAATTTGAGGCTTGCATTGTCGAGCCTAGAGAACTGCTGGAATGTAGTACCCTGTTGTGATGTATTCCCTCAGTAAAGGCTTAAAGTTTGGTTCTCTTTGAGATGGAGTCCTACGAAGGGAATACAGAATGAAAATCGAGTTTGGATTGTAGCTTGAATGGTTGACCTCTCAGAAACAGCTTGGAACCTCTGTAGAACCTAGCTGAATCTAGTCCATGAAGGAGCACGTTTGTTGACCCGAAAAAGAGCACTGAGGTCGAAGAAGGCTTCTCCGTGAGGGCCAATGCACATGGGAACGCTGCAAGGCGCCGAGCGCACAGAGAGACGGAGAGGGCTTTCGCTTTGAGTGCTTAGCACTTCCAAGATTTGTGGTCTAGGCTCCCAGAAGCAAGCAGAGAGAGAGAGAGAGAGAGAGAGAGAGAGAGAGAAAGAGAGAGAGAGAGAGAGAATGAGAGAGGAACCAAAACAGAAGAGACAGAGATGTTACGCCTATCCCTGCTGCAGTGGGCTCCAACCTGTTACAGGCCTTCAATACCCTAAACCCTCAACCCTAAACCTCTCAACCAACCTAATGCCCACGGCCAGGCGCCCCTTGGCTGGAGGCCTGGAAATCATGGAGGGTCGCGGCGGTGCAGTTCTGGTGCCAGGGCTGACGGTTGCTACTGGGCCACAAAGACTGGGCGCTTTTCAGGAGGGGGCTAAGGTCGTCGTAAAAAGAGTGTCATTACAAGGGCGTGTAAGAGAGTCTAAGACGTTTAGAACCATAGGGTGGTTCAGCGCTTTGGTTTAGAGTTTCTGGCTAAAGGTCTATTGGGGTCACTCGAATACAAATCCCTACTGGGGCTCGACCTGCAGCACCCTTCTTTCTGGAAGCTTCCATTAGAGGATCTACGTCGGGAGCTACGTTTCACAGTTCAGGCTCGGGGTTCAAGGTCCAACTGGCTTACCTTTTGTAGGAACTTGTAAAGGGAAATCATAATAAGGAGCCCTAATCCTACTAGAGAAGCGGGCAACCGCACGCTGCCATGGAATTTCAAGCCGGAGGTCACGGAGAGGAGGTCAGGTGGCGGGGATCATGAAGGACATCCAAGAGCTAGCCAGCAACAAGGACGAGGACAACGACGGGGGTGCTGGAAAAGAGCCTCCAGCGCAAAAGACTTGAGGACAAGTACAACCTTGTCTGGGAGATCTTTAGCATCGAGAAGCTTTCTGAGTCCTTTGCTACGGTGGATGCTTGGGACTTTCGCGACCCAACGCGGATTTAAGGTCTATTCCTTGATTAAGGGTCATTGGGATCTCTGGCCGCTCACACGGCTCTTCGTGTGGTCAGAATGTTGTCAGTCCTCGGTAGGCCCAAGCCAGGAGGTTGAGAGGGTAGAGAGTTTTCTTTTCCCGAAGTTCTTAATTTGAGGACTATGTATTCAACGAGAGAGGAAATTAAAACTATCACACATCGGCACCTAGCAAATTATATTGTCATCAGTAGAATATGGAAGATAAACCAAAAACAGGAACTACAACGGAGACTGTACGCATGGTTTAAGGTTGTCAACACCAGGCAGTCTTTCCTGCGAGCAGCTCACCCCTGCCGGACTGGTGGCATGCTCTGGCATGCTTTGATTTGGGTGCCTTCCCCTAAACCTCACAAGGTCCCTACACGACACCGCAATTGAAACCCATATGGAGCCATTTAGTGTAAGCCTTTCCAGGAAGCCTATTCTATTGATCGGGTTCCCACATCTATTGTGTCCTCCCAAGGTTTAGGGTTTAGGGTTTCAGTGAGCAACATACCATAAAATACCGTAGGATCCTGAGTAATGATTTTTAAGGTATGTACGTTGATTAAGGGATATTGGAGTCTCTGGGCTTGCCCACTTAGAGGATCATGGGACTTAGTAAGTAGGTTATAATTGGGGTTATAAGTCCCCTAAGTGGGGTTATCCTACTTATAACCTACTTATAACCTTACTTACTAAGTCCCATGAGCCTTTAAGTAGACCCTAAACCCTATAGATCCCCTTAAGGAAACCCCTAGAGATCCCTTTGAGGACCCCTTTAAAGTTACTAAGTCCCATGAGCCTTTAAGTAGACCCTAAACCCTATAGATCCCCTTAAGGATCCCTAGAGATCCCTTTAAGGAGCTTACTTACTAAGTCCCATGAGGCTTGAAGTAGACCCTAGACCCTAAACCCTATAGATCCCTTTTAAGGAAACCCCTAGAGATCCCTTTAAGGACCCCTTTAAAGTTACTAAGTCCCATGAGCCTTCAAGCAAGGTCAAAGTGAGCAACCTGGATCAGGCCCTGGAAGTGCTGAGGCCCACGCAAGGGGGCGCGCGCTGTAGGATTTAGGGAGTTCAGGCTACAGGGAAATGGGGTTTAGGATATAGGATTTACGGTTCAGGGTTTAGGATTTAGGGTTTAGGATTTAGGGTTTAGGGTTTAGGATTTAGGGATTTTAGGGTTTAGGATTTAGGGCTTAGGGTTTAGGATTTAGGGATTTTAGGGTTTAGGATTTAGGGTTTACATTTTAGGATTTAGGATTTAGGATTTAGGGATTTCAGGCTACAGGGCAGTTGATATTAGCCCGAATGTCACGCGAGCATGCATCCCTAAACGCTGAACCATGGATTCGAAAGTTTAGGGCTTTAGGGTTCGACATCATGGGCTTTGCACGGTTGAAATCTGTAGTGTTTATACACGGCTTTGCTGTAGCAAGCGGAGCCGAGGGCTGTGCCGTAAACCTTATCGAGATTCTACATCCAGGGCGCTGACTCTAGCAATGGCGTTCAGCTACGCTTCCGGGGCGTGGCCATTTAGATAGGTCTCGCTTGCAGGCTCATGGACAGTTCAAGGCATGGCTATAAGTAAGTTCTAATTAAGGTAGTTGTCGAATTTACTCACAGACCCCAATGACAATCCTGGTATCCCCATCTGCATCCACGCACCCAATGAGGCATGACGCAACTTGCCAAGTATTCTCCGAAGCAAAGCCCGAAGGCTGCAAGAAGGCTCTGAACTTAGCCAAAACAAATGGGAGTTTCCGAAAATAGGGGACCCTAATTTGAAACGCTTCGCGTCGTCCGCCTCGGCCCGGCTTTTCGCGCATGCGGCGACTGGCTACCATCCGGCGCAGCAGGAAGCTCTTGTACGAAAATAACAACAGTTGGAATCGCACTTGTATTAATTGTAGGGCAGGGCAAAGCAGGGCAGAGCAGCGTAAGGCAGAGGGCTTGTCTCAAGAAGCCAGCAAGAGGTTGATGTAACCATTGTAGCATCTCCGCGTTCTGTGCCTGATATTCGACATAGCCCCTAGCTGGCGATAGCGATGCTTGAATCTCCGATGCTATGAGAAGGTTAGGTCGTGGAGCCGCGTGCTGTGCTGCCCAAAGCAACGCTATTTCCGAACTTTGCCTGAGGGGGGCAGGGGGGAGTGGGGGGGGGGGCGGGGGTGGGGCAGGGGGGGGGCAGGGGGGTCAGGGCAGGGGGCGGAGGGGGGCAGAGAAGGGGGCGGGGCAGAGGTGGGGGCGAAAAGGAGGAAATTGGGTGGGACCGCCTACAGACAGCCAAAATCTAGTGGAGGAGGCGAGAATTCACCACCGGACCTTGGGGCTAATCGACACGTTTCCATTTTTAAACAGGGGTCCACTGAAGGAGACGAAAAAACTACCCCGAATAGTAGGATCCTTATTATAAGGACCTCCAAATAAGGTACCCCTAATTTGCGGAAACTCCCAAATTAATCCTAAATCCCAACCCGGAAACCCTAAACCCGAAAGCCCCAAGTCCTTGTAATGCCCTGGACAGGATCGGCACCCTGAGCCGGACCTCTGGAGACAACGGTTTTAACTCTTCCTCGTCGAGGTCCCATGCAATCTTCCAGGCAGGTGAATGGGGTTTAGGGCCGTGCTTTAGAACATTTTGAGTCTAGATGAATATATTGGTGTTGCAGTATGGTATTTTCCGTAAGTTTTGTGCGGGTTCCCAGGGTTTACAGCGGAATCTTCTTCAATACAACGAGACTTTGTTCAGGGGTCCCGAGAATTCTTCACCTACTAGTTACTTCGGGTCGATGCTTTGGCCCCTGTGTCGTCTGATGCTCTCATGTGTGACATGAGCAGCCTACTATAGGGGCCCTATAATAATCATTACCTATACTAGTTTGGTGGTTCCTTACTTTTATGATTATGGTAGAATGGGCTTCAAAGCCCTATGTTTATTTCCATAATGCCCCTGCATTATGGCGTGGACAGCCTATACGACTGGCGTAGGCGCCTCATATTACACCTTTCAAGCTTCACCACCTCCGCAAACCCTAAACTCTAGACTCTAGACCACACCTGGACCCTAAGAAACCTACCTTTTTGGGGTTCCTTATTATAGTTTCCTTATATATGTCCTTAAAAAAGTAGGCTATTTGGGGTTAGGGCAAACCCTCAAGCTCTCAAGCGTAAGACAAAGAACCCAGATGGTAGCGTCGAGGCCTCAACTCAGACGGCCGACCAACTCGAAAGCAGAAAACTCAAAGTGCCTCACAACACCCTAATGAAGCCCACAAAAAGGCTTAAACCAAAAAAACTACACTAAACCCTATACGGACCCGTTGCAAAAGCTCGAACCCAAGAACAACGTAACCAAACCCCAAGACACCGCAAAATAGATGAGCATCCTAGTCGAAGCCAAGGACTATAGTAGCACTTTGTAGACCTGCAACTGGGCTATGGAGCACCATACTTTAATACTTTTTTCTTAAAGGAACCATTATGAAATAAAAGTGTATACGCTTTTCTCCCTGGGTATTTCAATAAACCCTACAATGCTACACCTTTTCAACCCTAAGGCCAAAAACCCGTTCAGAATTCTTGGTCCCGAATTTAAACCCTTATAGGAGCCCAAGACCCCTAAGGCCAGAAATCCGAAGACCCAAGAAACTGCTAGGCCCTAAACCCCGGAGGCCGAATTCCTAAGCTTCAATCCTGCAAGGTCTGAACCCAGTAAGATCCTAAAGCGTTAAACCATATTAAACCCGTCAAGCCCTACGACAAGACCCTAAGCTAACCCTCAAGAACAACCCCAAACCAGCCCTATAGTAATTCTAAACCCTTACAGGAACCCTTTGTAGGAACCCTTTAGACAAACCCTTAAAAGGGATGCCTCTACTGGGACCCTTTTAGGAACCCCTTCAAGGGCCCCTTCAAGGGCCCCTTAAAGGAGCCCTTTGAAAAGGAGCCCTTAGCCGAAGACCCGACCCTCCGACGCACAGGTCCTGGTCGAGCCGAGCCCCTCTCGCCGGGCGGCGGGGGACCGACGAATTTCGAAGCTGAACCTCGTGGACCTCGCAGGCCATGTAGGGTGTAGGGCTTTCGGGATTTTGGGGTGGGGTGTGGGGGTTTGGGGATCTTCAAGGGAACCGCGTGGACCTCGCAGGCCATGTAGGGCTTTCAGGGTGTAGGGGTTTGGGGTTCATGGGTTCAGGGCTTTCGGGCTTTCGGGCTGTGGGGCTTAGGAGTTTTCGGGGGTTTGGGGTTTACTTAGAGGTTTAAGGTTCAGGGTTCTTAAACCCTACTAAACCCAAAACCGCGTGGATTCGGTATGCATGTATGTATATTTATATATATATATATATATATATAGTTTTTTGTAAGGGTTCTTCAAGGGTCCTAGAAAGGCAACCTCGTGAACCTGGCAGCCCTCAAAGGCTTTAGAAGGGATCTTGACGGGTTCTACAAGGGAGCTTCGTGGATCTTGCACGCCATGTAGGGCTTTCGGGTTTAACGCACACCCATATAACCCGCCTATAATGAAGCGCAATAACGTAGGGCCATCCCCACTAAATGCTCAGGCTTATGTGCTTTGGGGGTCCCTGAATACAGGGTTCTGTAAGACCTTACATGGTTATATAAGTAGGCTTCTTCGAGGGTCCCAAAAAGCGGGCCTCCTGGCACGTAGGATTCTCAGGGCGTATAGAGTCTAGAGAGATTATAAGTTCTGGAGGTCGATTAGGGCTTCTTTTTTTGGGTTCCTTGAAACCCTAACCCTAAACCTTAAATCGTAACTCTAAACCCTGAACCCTAAAACCCCACAACCCAAAGCCCTTATAGTGCAGCCCATCTATGAAAAATCCTTCCTCGAGGCTCTGAGAAGCTCAAGCCCGAGTCTGCCCCTGCCGGCGCGACCCTCCAGGACTGGGGTCCAGACTTATTGATTCTGATTAAGGAATAGACTGTAAATAATGGGGGCCTTAATATTACGATTTGAGGTATATTCCTTAATTAATGGGTATTGGGATCTGAGGGTTTAATACTTATTGGCTGCAAACTCAACTTTTCAACTTTTGGGGTTCTTACAAGGTCGTCGACTTTTATTTCCTTGGGTTTTGGGCCAGTGAGTATAAGAGTAGTTTTGTAAGTTAGGGTCCTTTTTCTGAGTCCTTATCATGAGGGTGACGTACTAAACAGGAGACTTAAAAATGGACCCGAGTTTGGAGAACTACCCATAAGTTACCCTGATAGCAACCCTCGTCGGAAGCTGCGTCGGGACTCTTATACGAATCCTTGTAGTAGCCGTTTAGTTAACCTTCATGCAAACCTCCTTATAGCAGGTCGATGCGACTCAATTTCCCTGTGGGGCTTTCTTTTCTTTTCGGTGGAGGTGTGCGGGGCGTGAGCCTTTCCTGGCCCTTATCAATAACAGCCTTTGACGCAGATCACATTCACCTACAGAAACTCCTTCCAGCAGCCGCAGTAGCCCTCAACGGAACCCCTCAAAAGCTCCCCTGGCAGCAGGCCCTTGGAGTAAGAGGGACCCGAAACACGGAACACATTTTAAGGAACGTCAAATTGTTGGGCGACTATCCGGGTTGATTAGTGGAAGGATTACTGCAAGGGTCACTACAGGTTGCTTTAGGGGTTTAGGGGCGTAGGGTAAGGTAGTTTTAGCGTGGCACTCCGAGGGTTCACGAGCTTGCAGTTGAGAGTTCAGGGTTTAGGAGTTTCGGGTTTGGGGGTTAGGACTTTTGGGTTTAGGGTAGGGCTTAGAAGTTCAGGGTTTTGGGAGTTTGGGGGCTTCGAGCTGTGTTGGTTTAGGAGATTCGGGCTTGGGAGCGAATGGGTTTGGGAGCTGAGGGTATAGGGGTTTAGCCGACGTTTTAGAGCTTCGGGTTTAGATTTTTTGAGTTGTAGAAGCTTAGAGGGATCAAGGCGGCTTCCGGCTGGTTTCTCCGAGAAGGGTATGTCGAATCAGGAATTGTTTTTGTTTAGGGTTGTCCGGTATGTTTACACTACGATCAAACCTCTCCAAACCTGAGTCCAATCATTCAGACCCTTATACTATATATAGTTCGTGATAAGAGTCTTATGAAGGACTTGTAGGGCCGGGGGGCTTAACATGGGATGGGCTTGAAATTGAAAATGGTTTTTTGATGGTTTGACAGAGACAGAGGGTCTAGGGTTTCTAGAAGATGCAGGTTTACAGAGGGCAAGTTGTAGGGGTTTCGGGCTTAAGCTTGCTGCTACTGCCGCTGCTGCTACTACGACGACGACTACGACTACCACGACGATGGAAGCGAGGACGACGGCGACCACCCGCGCTACCGTATAGTGCGGTGTGCAAGAAACAACATGAACAAAGGGGACCCTAATAGCAGGATCCTTCTTGTAAGGACCCCAAAATAAGGTACCCTGAATTTTCGGAAACCCTAAACTCTAATAGAGCCTTTTAGAGGGATCCTGATAGCACCCTGAAAGTAACCCTTGAAAGGAACCCTTAAGTACCCCCTAATTTTTCGGACACTCCCACATGAGTGCTCCGAAGAAGCTGCCAACGCCTCTGCTCGATAGAGACGTAGGTAACTGCAGTTTAGAGGAGAGTCTACCTTAACTACCATATTCTGATTTTTGCAGGGTCGCTGTTAAATGCATTTCTGGGTTTAGAAAAGGAACCTCAAAAAGTGTATGGTAGGTGAAGCTACTTGGAGGTTCATGGGACTTAGTAAGTACCGTTTTAAGTACCTTAACTGGGGATACCACCAATTATGAGTATAGCTACCGTATTTATAACCCTAGTTACTAAGTGCCATGAACCTCTAAGTACCCTAAACATGCGCAAGCCTAAAACCGTAAACCCTACCCGAACCCCAAAAGTATGTCGAAGAATAGCCTGTGATAGGTGCTGGGCCAGTATTGTATAGGCTAGGTTCGCAGACTTGAAGATGACACCCCAAATGCAACCAGGAGCTCACTTGCATCAATCTCTCGCTGTCCACCTTGGGCAAGTGCATCTCTGCTGCCTGGCTGAGAGTTGCCCCATATCCGAGGCCCCAAAGTGCCCCTTAACGGAGCCCTTTTGGTCTCTAATTGTGGGTTTTGGGGATATAGTAGAAGGTAGTTGGAGGGTCTAGGATGGTTCAGAGATGTTGTTTTGTTGCCACTGCATGTCGGACATAGCTTTTTTCAGTGAGGGTTTACATTATCTGCTACTGTGAGCCCATTTAGCCTGACGAGGTACATAAAGCTGAAGCCCGATGCGCTAAGCCCTACATCCCAAGGAACTGACGCATGTGTTGCGTGTGTGTCAACCGTCGCTGTCGGGGCCGTTCACAATTCCTTTACCGAGTCATCTGGGTAGTGTAACCCAGCCTTAAGCTTTGTAAGTAGCCATGTGCACTCCTGTTCCGGTGCTTGGTGGTTGCAGAAAAATTTCATCACGGGGCCAAGGGGTGGCTCACAGCCACCCAGTGCCTCACGGCTAAAGGCGACGAGAAAGGTCGCCATGACAAGTGGTTGTCAAAACTATTGGGTCCTTAGTATAGTACGGCAGCTAATATTTAGGGTACCCAAAAAGGAACCAAAATTTTGACAACCACCCAAGTGTTAGCTGAGAGCGTTTAGAATTGCTAATCCCCTGGTTACGGGATTGCCAGCACAGCAACTTTTCTATAAGTTAGCGGAGACGTTAAGCCTCCACGCTTAGACCCGAACCTTGCAACCCTATACCTAAACCGTAAATCTTTACGTAAGGGTTATAGGTTTCAGTATGTAAATCAGAGTAGGATTTGATGGGACTGTCGAGTATCGTTTTACTAAGGAACCTATACAGAATAGTCTTGTCAACTATTCAGGACCCTTTGGGTGGGTTCTCAAGATGTGGGGCACTTTGTGCACGGGTCCTTGTAATACGGTTCCTATTTTCAGGGTGGCTTTATATGGCGTGTCCTACTCTTGTGAATAAAGGCGAAAAATTACAGGATGAGGCTAGAAAGTTCGCATCTTCGTCCCAGCTCCAACGGATTTCCCCTGAATCCTTGAGCCATGGGAGAGCACTAAACCTCTTAGCTTCTGCATAATCATCCTACTTGCACGCCCCGCAAACCTTTGCCAAACTCAATCAGACCCACGTCCCTGTTGACTCGGTTCTTGTTAGGGAACTTCATTGAAGCTACCATAATGGGAACAGACTATAGTAGATAATATGGTGCCTTTATTATGGAAACATCGAACCCAGTGGACCCACTGACCCCAGCATGAAACCCTTTTCGAAACCCGTTCAAGACCCTGCAATAATCTCATTGCAAAACCGTCAGAAATCCCACATAAAACTTGTTCCAAACCTCTGCTATAATCCTTCATAAAGCCCTGAAAAACTAAGCCGCACTCTCCTTTCAGGCGATCGTTTGCCAGAGGCGCACGCACGTACCGTATCGGGATTCCAAGCTGACACGACGCTTAGCTCCAATTCTTCGGTTTTTTGGAGAGTTTCTCTCAAGCGTTCCGCTTAATTGCTCCTCTAACAGTTTATAAGGGCTTGGAGTTGAATGAATGCTTCAGGGCTGCAGAGCAGCGTTTAGCCACTTCGGGGCGCGAACCTTTACATCTTACCATACCCCAATGTCACAGTCTAAGCACCAAGGCATTTTAAGCACATCCTGGCTGGTAAGATCATTGGCCAGGGCGATCCTTCCCATAGCCCTGATCATGGCCTGCCTGCTCAGTCTCTTGATCCTTCCGGTCCAGGGGTTAGGGTAAAGGCTTAGGCAGGCATAACTTACAACAGCCGCCATTTGCGCTGCGAGGGGTCTTTCGTGCTACAGTTTGTTCCTACATCTGATTGTATAGGAAGTAGCTACAACAGCGTTCACGAGTTGTTCCTCGTTTGGAAACCCTGGGTTCATGCATTCGAGTCTAGTACAGAAGCCCAAATAACCAGGAGGACAAACACAAGGAGCCCTATTCTACTTAGTCAGGCTCCAATGAGGCTTTGGGGTTTAGAGTTCAGGGACCGGGACTCCACACAATTAACACAAGAGAGGTCGGAACAGGTAGAAACAGTATACTCAGCATACCCTTCTAGTTCCAGTTGGAACTACACCATCGTATACCTCAAAATCCGAGTCTAATGATTAAGCTAGGACCGCCAGAGTACCTGCAGGAGCACTACCATCATACTGAAGATGTTCTTATCCACACAGCCCACACCAAAAAAAAACGCTGAAACCCGAAATCCCACCAACAAGGACTGCTTCAGGATGCCCTGAGTGGGCAATCCCTGGCGGCGATGATCATTTGCATCTCACCGCTCATGTCCTCCCTCGAGGATCTGAGTTAGGGACCCCCAAAAGCACATAAGCATAAGCATTTGGGGATTTATATGGGATATCCCTATCCTCATGTTTGCTTATGTGCTTTTTTGGGGCCCTATGAGTTGGCTTTGACAAAGCAGCTAGTAACGAATGTGACGTAACGATGCGCATATGTAGTTGTGTCTATACCTATACATGGATATGCACGCACATACTCATGGATATTTAAATGTTATGGTTTGGGTATTTGGGGCTTTGCGGGATTTTGGGTTCAGGGTTCAGAGTCCGTGGAGCCCTGCATCTCTTCCTTCTGGCCCTGCTTGTCGTTCACTTATAGGATCCTTAAGGGGGGGTGGTTCAAGGGGGGAGGGTACTAGGGAGCTTTGGGGAACCTTAGGGAAGCTTAGGGAGTATTGGGGAATAATGGGATTACTAGGTTACCTACCCCCCTTGGACCACCCCCCCTTAAGGACATCCTAATTCACTTGGGTGTCGGCTCGCACGTCACCATCGAAGTTTGCAGGTTTCTTCGGCAGGATTCCGCAGCGCTTCTGCATTTGCCTCCAAAGGTTTCGGATGTAGCGCTGCAGGTGGACAAAAAATCACATGGAAAGCAGGCAATATTTGAACCCAGAGTTCTTTCCCTAACCCAGCAAAACCTACCTATTTGTAGGGTCACCATAAACTCCATGTTAGGCTTCGAGCCTACAAAGTGGCCCCTAAGCCGCCCCGCCCGAAGCCCCAAAAGCCTACCAACCTGGACGCTGAAATTCAACGACCCCGAAATTGCCGGTGCCTTAAGTTGCCTAAGGTCTTCCAAGCTCAAACCCTAGAACCACACACTCCAAGACTGTGGGCATAGGTCATATAGTGTATGTGTATATATGTATTCATAGCGCAATTTGTTGTGACCAAAAAGGCTTCGGTTTGTAAGATCTCACAACATAAGGTAACCTACGGAAATCGTAACATATGGTGTAACCGACGGTAACAGAACAGAGATACAACTAAAGCTAGATAACTATTCATGAGTGGCCACTAGCACGGCTCTGAATGCCATTCTTGGATTCATACCTAAACCCCTTTTTTACAACTCCCGAACCCTAAACCGTTTGAATGAATCCAAACGAGATATCCCACAAAGCTAAACCCTGAAAAGTTACATCAACAAGCCCGAAAGCGTGAAAGCCATACGCCAAAATCAGACTTGATGTCCTAAATGCCTTAACTCTAAGACCCTTAGCCCCTGAGCCGAATACTATGCCCTCGAAACGTAGAACCCCTAAGCTTCCAACACACACCAAAAACCCTTGCTCACTTTTAAGGTGGTAAGACTTTCAGCATACGAACCTTTAGATGAAGGCACTTTACGTTTAAGATCCGCCCTGACCCCTCTCTCAACTCACTGGCCGTAAAGACTCGCGCAGGAAACTTTGAGCTCCCTGAAGTTTGCGGACCGGGCGAAGCAGGCCCAGAGAACCCAATACAGGGTTCCTTTTGAGGGATCTACAGGGTTTAGGGTTCCTTTTAAGGGATCTATAGGGTTTAGGGTTCCTTTTAAGGGATCTATAGGGTTTAGAGACGGTTTATAGTAGAAGCCAGAAAGTTGGAATATCATTATCCTCATGCCCTTAAGGCAAAGTAGAGGGAATCCTAGCGCCAATGATTCCAAATGAATGTTCCAACTTTCTGTGGTTCACCATACCCCTTAATCAAGGAGAATATCTGGAATAATAGGGGGCTTGATGTGGGTTCTCTGGGGGCTTCCTTTTTGCGAGGTTTATGGGGTTTTTGGCGGGGTAGGCTTCAGGTTGCTGTTTGGGCTTAGGGTTTTTGGGTTTAGGGTTGAAGGCTTAATGAGTCGGGTTTATGGGTGTTCGGTATAGGTTCTTTTTTAGGGTGTAAGGGTTCTGAGTGTAGGGTTTAGGTCCAGATTCGAAAGATGCGAAACAGTCTCGCTTCGGAGTCCCGGAAGCATCATTCCATGAAAACTCAACGCCAACACGCTAGCCTCAGTCCTTGGGCCCCTATATCTCGCACCCCAAACCCTTACAGGGCCAATACTGGAAACCTCGCTCTTATGTGACATCTGTTCCCCTCAGGGCCTCCAGTATCCTCTAGTGCTTGTAGAGCTCTTTGAATTCCAAGTTCGGCTTCGGGGCGCAGGGTTTTGGGTCAGGACTGAGGGGTCGCGGATGTACATAGGGTTCAGGGTAGCAGGCTTGGGATCTAGGATTCAGGCTTTCGCATTTTGGATTTAGTGTTGGGGGTTCAATGCTTTAAGACTAATCCGACGTGCTAATCCGATATCGCAATGTGTTATAACCCAATATGTTAGATATATTACAGTGTAACTCAAATGGTATAGTATCCTATAATCTCATACAGTACACTATGAACGTATCATATAACACATGTTCCATCTCTCAACCCAAATCCCTTGTCCTTCTAGGCTGAGTGATGTCATTGTATCCTTATAGTTAGAATGCTTAGTTACAATATACTCCAAAAATCTTCTCCAAATAGTGAGGCTTGTGTAGTACAAGGTTGAATGCGTGAAGGGTTTACGGTTCTAGCTTTCACGCTTCACAAAATTTAGGCTTCGTACGTGCGGAATCCTAAACTCTTCTGAAAGGCCCCTTCTGATTTGGGGTTTCCGGCTTCTTGGGTTTGTCATCCGGGAACTCCATAACCCGTTTAAACCAAATCCTTGACCCCAAGCTCTAAAGGCTAAAACCTCACCCCTTGCTGTGCCCTGGCAAAGCTGGACTCAAGGCCTCAACCCTCAATTCGACGACAACATTTATCCAAGGGTAAAAGGAGGGACCCTTAATAAGGACCCCTAGGTATATACCCTTAATGTAGCTGTTATGCACCCGTTATATAGCCCATAATTGTCTCCCGTATACCTGAGGATCCTCCCCTTCAGGATCACGTGCGGGCACTTGAAACCCTTCCACTAGTGCAGGCATTGTTGCAGAAGTATTAAGGCCCCTATGCTCCCTTAAAACAATCTTACAGAACCCTTACTGGAACCCTCATCAGTAAGTAGAATGCTGATGGAACCTTAAATAACCCTTGAATGCAGAAGCCTGACAACTACTGACAGTATTCCTAAGGGTTTCCTCATTGCATATACAGTAAGTATCGTGGACCCCCGAAATCTGTTCGAAGTATCCAGGCCCCTTACGTGAGGCCTTAAATTATATTGCAGTGACTTTGGCAGACAGTCTAGGGGTTTTTGGATCAAACCGTTTAAACCCCCTAAACTAAATCCTGAACCTTAAATATACACTGGCCTTTCTAGGCCTTCTTAGAAGTCTTAGAAGTCGCAGACCCGTAGTCTCTGGGAAAAAAAGGAGCTTCAAAAAAAAACACCCTCAAGCGTGTGGGCCTTTTGGGAGTACCCTACAGGATTCTATATATGAACCCCAAAAGGAACTACGTTGGGGCCTTTGGGTAGTTTAAACATTGGCAGGCAGTGTTGGATCATCTTCCGGGCTCGGCGTCGCCCTCGCCAGCGGCCGCGAGCACGGCTTCGAGCCTAGCAATGGCCCGGCGGGTGGAGGATGCGCTTTCTAGAGTCTTAAAGGGCTCTGTAGGGCTTTGTGGCTTTAAAAGAGTGTTAAAGGGCTGTGTAGGGCTGTGGCTTTAAAAGAGTTTCAAAGGGCTCTGTAGGGCTTTGGGGCTATGTAAGTTTTTTCTAAGTCATATAGGGCTTTGTTCGGATTCCCAGGGCTTTAGAGGGCTGTATGGGTGGCCAAAGGTGTGCTTTTCTGAGTGAGCAATTAGAGAAGAGTTCCGTCAAAGGGTTCTAGTGGGGTTGCAAAACAGCGGTAGGATAGGGGCATGGATAGTTGGAATAGGGCTTTGGGGGGATAGTACACCACGTAACGAAGTTTGCCACGAACACAGCCTTGCAAAAACCCTTAACGCCTTAATGGGTTCTGTAACCGCTCTACATGGGTTTCGTGAACCCTAAGGAATAACGTTGGAAATTCTTCCGAGCCTTAGGCTTTCGTTTAGGAGTCCTGGAAGCCCTTTACCTTCAACCCCTACACCCTAAATCCATTATCCCGAAGGTGGCAGTCTGGGAAACTTTCAAACTTATCTTATGGTTCCTACAGGGGTACCTATTCATAAATACGTTTAAGGGCCCCAAAAAACTACAACCCAGTCCTAGGCCTTCATGCAAGCCCTTTGCCCTAAACCCCCCTAAACCCTCAACCCCCAACACCCCGAACCCTAAACCCCTAAACCTTAGGATCCCTGCGTCAGTCTCGCCTGGATCGTCCGACGACGGCTTCATAAACGCCTAAACCCTAAACCCTATAGATCCCTTAAAGGAGCCCTATAGATCCCTTAACGGAACCCTAAACCCTTTTAACCCTAAGCCCCTAAACCCTAAAGCTCGAAGTCCCGTGCCTGACTTGCCACTTGGAGGATCATGGGACTTAGTAGGGACTTAGTAAGTACTTGGAGGGTCGGGGGACTTAGTAACTGGTTATTTTAGGGACTCATAAGTACCATAACCCCAATTAGGGTCCCTTTTAGGGTACTTACAAGTCGATTTACTAACTACTTACTAAGTCCCCCGACCCCCCAAGTAAGGTGATAAGTACCTTCATGTGGGGTTATAGATAACTGTAAGTACAGTTCCCTTAATTATAACCCTAGTTACTAAGTCCCATGAGCCTCCAAGTAGACCCTCGACCCTAAACCCTATAGATCCCATTAAGGAACCCCTATAGATCCCTTTAAGGAGCCCTTTCAGGAACCCTGGCTACTAAGTCCCATGATTCTTTAAACACCCGAAGGAGCTGCAATCCAGGGTGCAGGAGCTGTCGGCGGAGCTGCAGAAGGACGGAGGTTGAAGGTTTAGGGTTTCAGGGTTTAGTATAGGGTTTAGGCTTTCAGGGTTTAGTGTCGGGTTTAGGGTTTTGGGGTTTAGTATAGGGTTTAGGGCTTTAAGGTTGAGGCTTTTAGGTTTAGGGTGTAGGGTTTAGTACAAGGTTTAGGATTTCCAGGTTGAGGCTTTTAGGTTTAGTGGGCTTAGGGTTTAGGGGTTTGGGGGTACAGACACTTTACTTTCCGAATCCCGTAAAACTATACCTAGTAGCAGAGTAGGTAACCTCTAGCCTTTTTTGGGTAGTATAGTCCCTATATAATCCCTCTATAACCAAAAAGGTTAATCTTCAGTTCCCCATGTTGCCCGACATGTAGGAGGATCCCTAAGCCCTAAACCCTTTATAGAACCCTTACAGATCCCTTTAAGGAACCCTTACAGGATCCCTTGAATCTTCAGTTCCCCATGTTAGCCGACATGTAGCTTTAACAGGTCTGGCGAAGAACATCAGGGTTTCTCGGATCATAAGCATTCTCGTCCCCAAGTGGGGGTCTCCGAAAATGGGGGACCCCAAGATAGCACCCGAAATAGTAGGATACTTAGTATCAGGACCCCGGAATAAGGTACCCTTAATTTTCGGAACCTCCCAAATCCTCTAGGCGAGAAGCGGCCGGCCCAATCAAGCTCCTTAGCAAGACCACGGAGGAGCGATCTGAAAGACAACGCCTGGAGCAGCTTCTGCAGCTTTCAAGAAAACTGGTGGTTCACAGAGGTTTTTATGTGGGTTTGACAAGGTTCCTTGAAGGGCTTTATGCGATTTTAGAAGCGTCCATGAGTGTCATGCGGCTGTAAAGGGTTGTCTAGGATTGTATGTTGAGTACTGCCCCCACTCAGTAACAGTTGGATAATATTCATTATATAGATATATTAGGACCTTAATAGTAGCCCTATTATGGACTGTTACTGTATGGCCGTACCCAAATTGCACAGTTTGATTCATAGGTTTCCGGGTTCGAGGACTGGCAGTTCGGTGTCCAGGATGTTCCGGATGCAGTGTTTGAAGCCTATTGCTTAGAGGTTCATAGTACTTAGTAGCTACGGCTATTAATATGGTAACTACACTTCTAATTGGTTATATCCAGAGTGGAGTGATGTTCCGATTCAGTGTTGAAGTTTATTCTAGGATGCCCAGTACTGCCCCTATTCCCTTCTTAAGTTCCCTATAAAGTTACCCAATACCAAAAATGGGAGCCCTTGTTTTCCTAGGTTGCTGGGCATCCTAGATTCAGTGTTTGAAGTTTATTGGGTTGTCAGGATGAAGGCTCAGGACGTTTACTTTTGGAGGCAGCAGACATGTCAGCTCCAAATCAAAGGCTCAGCCTTCACCAGGGTGCAGCAGCCCTCAGGTTACTAGAATCTAGTATGCAGAAACCATACCATTTACGACAGATCCCTATGATGGTGATTTAAGCTGAACTTCTTAGAAAGCAGAAACCATAAACCATACTATTTACTATAAGATCCCCATGGTGGCGATTTAAATTAAACTCCTTAAAAACCGACTAAGCAGACACCATACTGTTTACTAAAGATCCCTACAAGGGTGATTTAAATTAAACTCCAAGAAAACCTGACTAAGGACGCGGGAGTTGAAGATGACTTCCTGGAAGTCGAAAGAGCCCAAGAGGGGCGGAAGCCTCTCTTTGCCGATCTCCGCCCGGAAGCGCAGCTCGAGCTCCAAGCTGAAGCTTTGGAATTGCTGGGTAACATTTTTACGATTTTTGTGGGTCCTTAAAAACCCGAGAATCATTTAAAGGAATAGAAACTTACCCAAGTTGTGAATACTTAAAAAGTACCCAATACGGAATACATAGAAATATTCAATGTCGAATACTTTCCCGACAATGAATTAGGGTTGATTGCAGGAAGTGGGACATCGTCAAGCACCTTTCGGAGCACCCGGGCCTCGCCGACCTCACAGCTCCTTTGCAAATCGAGTACCATAGGGGCCTAAATAATTGCAAATACTATTGTGGGGGGTTCTTTATTACAAGTATAGTATAATGGGCCCCAAAACCCTATTCTAAGTATCAAGGCCAATATGTTAAGCTTTGGCTTCCCAAAGCCATATTCAGAATCTCAAGACCCAGCTAGACCTAGCAAGCTAGGAATCCCAAACCATGAATCCTAAAACCAATCCCAAACCCTAAGCCCCGAAGCAACTTAACCCACCCAAAGGCACCAAGTAATGGTATACTATGTATATATATATATATATATACTTTTGGGGCCCGGATACCTGCTATAGTGGTACTTGGACCCTTTGAGCCACTGAGGCCCTGAATTTGGGTGAGGAAGCGTGGTTGGCACAGGCCTTCGGCGGCGATGCCCAGTCCACGCAGTCCACTTCGAGCTCGTGACTTGGTCTTAAACAAAACGCCGATCCTTTCTAGTGCAGTTTTACCCTCGTATACGGATTGTAGACCTCGGCAAAGGATGGCATGTGCTAAACAAAACGCTGATCCTTTCTGGTGCAAGTTTGTACTGGTAGTATTTTTGCATGGTATATTCTTCAGACGGATCGTAAATTTTGGTGTATGTTATATTCTGCAAAATTTGTGCATGGTATCTTCTTCCGAGGGATCAGAAAGGAACACGTCTTCGGCCTCCAGAGAGCCGGGTTTGCTGCAGAAATCCGACTTACAGGCTTTCGTTTTCGGTGAGGGTGGGGTTTAGGGCCGTTTAGGGTTTTCGGGTTTAAGGAGTTTAGGGTTTACGGCGCAGTGAGGGTTTGGGGTTAGGGTAGGAGACACATTTCGAAAGAACAACAACTTAAGATCTACATTCTTAGATGTGCATGCGGTTTCGCGAGCCCTTGTCACTCTAACTCTAAGCCATGAAATCCAATCACCCTCATGCTAAGTCACGAAATCCTATCACCATCCATGCTCAAAGCCCTAAACCCAAATTTCAAACCCCCCGAAGCCTTCGACTCCTCCTGCTTTAAAACCCGACTTCCTGAGCCTCGAACCTTTAAAAGACTAGGATGCCCAGTAGTACCCTTATTCCCTTTTTGTAGTCCTAGGTTCCTTATAAAGTTACACAATACCAAAAGGAGAGGCCTTTTTATTCTTAGGTTACTGGGTATCCTAGAAGATAGAGGAACGCTGTTTTCAATCACCTCTAAACCCGTACAAACACAAGATCATGCAACTTTTTCGAGAACCGATTGAACAACTCAAACAAGCTTCACGACCCTGTAATTAAACGTTTTTTCAAACCCCTGCTAAAACCAAGAATATGCTTAAACTGCTCACAAACCCTGGGCCCTAGACACTGAACCATAAACCCTGAAACCCCCTCTAAGACCTAAACCCCCTAACCCTGGACCCCTAAATCCTTTGAATTTCAGGAGCGACCCTCAACCCTGAATCCTGGAATCCTAATTAGTAGTCCCGACCCCCCCAATCCCCTAAACCCCGCATCCCCTTAACCCTACACCCTTCAACATCTCACCCTAGACCCTTAAAGGAACCCTAAACCCCTAAGCATCGCACCTAAACCCTCAAAGGAGCCCCAAACTCCTGAACTCCCAACTCCTTATAGTACCCTTCAACGGCACCCCTGAAACCCTAAATCCCCTAAACATCTCAGGAGCGACTCGGAGCAGGGCCGCTTGGACATCCGCTCCTCGGGAAGCCGCAGCTCCGGGAAGCGTGCGAAGGGCCATGCAGTCGCTTGGTTCACCAAGCGGCTTTGGGGCGCTTGTGGGGTTTAGGGTTAGGGGTTTAGGGTTTAAGATGTAGGGGTTTAGGGTGTGACGACGGGTTCTCCAAGCTCATGGGGGGCTTTTGAGGTTTAGGGTTAGGGGCTTAGGGATTTAGGGTTTAAGATGTGGGGGTTTAGGGTGTTACGATGGGTTCTCCAAGCTCATGGGGGGCTTTTGAGGTTTAGGGTTAGGGGCTTAGGGATTTATAGGGTTTAAGATGTGGGGGGGTTTAGGGTGTTACGATGGGTTCTCCAAGCTCATGGGGGGCTTTTTGGGTTTAGGGTTTAAGGTTTAGGGTGTTTGGTTTTGGGTCTCGGAGTCATGGGGATTGTAATGTTCATCTCAAAAAGGTCATGGCAACGGTAATAGTGATTGCAATGGTAATGATGGTAACGGTAATGGTAATTTGGGCTTTGGGGGTTAGTTTAGGGTCCCTAAACCCTAAACCCTAAACCCTAAACCCTTAGTAGGGTCCTCTACGGGCACTAGAGTTTAGGCTCTTTGGGCCTTAGGGGTTCAGAGTTTAGTTGCGGATTAGGTACTGCCCGGGTTTGGGGTTTAGGGTTTGGGGTTTGGGGGTTTGGGGTTTGGGTTTGGGGGTTTAGGGTTTGGGGTTAGGGGTTTGGGGTTTGGGGTTGGGGTTTGGGGTTTAGGGTTTGGGTTTGGGATTTAGGGGTTGGGGGTTTAGGGGTTTGGGGGTTTAGGGGTTTGGGGGTTTAGGGTTTGGGGTTTGGGGTTTGGGTTTGGGGTTTGGGTTTGGGGTTTAGGGGTTTAGGGGTTTGGGTTTGGGGTTTGGGGGTTTAGGGGTTTGGGGGTTTAGGGTTTGGGGTTGGGGTGTTTGGGGGTTTGGGGTTTGGGTTTGGGGTTTAGGGGTTTAGGGGTTTGGGTTTGGGGTTTGGGGGTTTAGGGTTTGGGGTTAGGGGTTTGGGGGTTTAGGGTTTGGGTTTGGGGTTTAGGGTTTGGGGTTGGGGTTTGGGGTTTAGGGTTTGGGTTTGGGATTTAGGGGTTTGGGGTGTAGGGGTTTGGGGGTTTAGGGGTTTGGGGGTTTAGGGTTTGGGGTTGGGGTGTTTGGGGGTTTGGGGTTTAGGGTTTGGGGGTTTGGGGTTTAGGGGTTTGGGTTTGGGGGTTTCGGGTTTGGGATTGCAGGCGTCTAGCTTTTTTGGTGGCAGAACAGTGGCATGAGGAGCTACTTTGCACTATCCCCTGCTTTTCCTTGGTTGTTCTCCTGGGTTTGCAGGAATTCATGCGGCATTCATGCAGGTTGCATACCCTAAACACCATAAACCCTAAACCCTAGAAACCCTAAACCCCTAATTCCGAAACTCCTAAACTCTAAACCCTTAACCCGTTCTCAGTAATCTGAGGAATTGTATACCCAGAGAACCCAATACCCCTTAATTAAGGAATATGCCTTTAAATTGTAGAAGCCTTAGTCTTACGACTCCCTAAACCCCAAAAAACCTATTAGCTCCCTTTAAGGGAACCCTGGGTCTATTCCTTACTTAAGGGATATTGGGATATCTGCATAAGAGCCTTCCCAGGATTTTATCAGCTGGTGTTCAGGTTGGTGCAAGGATCACGAACGGTGCATGGTACCATACAGGGATCCATAGGGTACCTTAAGGGGATCTACAGGGCACCTTAAAGGAATTATAGGGGTCCGTAAAGGGATCTACAGAGTTCCTAAAGGGATCTACAGGGTTTAGGGTTTAGGGTCTACTTAGGGGATCATGGGACTTAGTAAGTAGGGGAATAAGTACCTAAGTAGTACATACTTTGGGCCCAAAGTACCTTTCTGCGGAGTACTTTGAAACTAACGTATAGACTATCTGGGCACATGGACCCTGAGCGACATTCACCCGATGCAAAAGACTGCACTCAGGGCGTTCATTGTTTCGACCCTCGACGGTTGCAGTGTTTGGGGGATTGGAGATTGAGACTTGCAGTGCCTGTGCTCAACCATAAGAAAAATGGCCTAATATCCATATGTTAAATTACGAATAGGAACCATAATCTTCAAACCAAAAAAATGAGTTTTCATTTGTACAAGGTAGCAAACTCTGACAGTGTAATGCCTGGGGCCTAGGGCTTAACGTTCAGCCTTTTCGCACCCTGGCCATCCAGGGAAGCATTTGGCATTTGAAGGATCAGGGGCTTAGGGGATCAGTGGATTTAGTCCTTAGTCATCAAGCTCATGGCTACTTTAAACCCCCATGAGCGGAACCCTAACACCCCAGCAACTAAAAACTGTAAGCTATAAGCCCTGAACCTTAAATCCTGACCCCTAAACCCCTAAAAACCTAAACCCTAAAACCTAAACCCTAAAATCTAAACCCTAAGCCCTAAACCCTGACCCCTGAACCCGAAGCCGTAAAACTCTAAACCCTCAACCTTGAAGTCATTTTTCAAAGCCCTAGAACCCCAAATCCCTGAACCCTTCAACCCAAAACCTTAAACCCGAAAGCCCAAACCCTAGAACCCTAAAGCCCTAAGTGCGTAAAGCCCTATAGACCCTTAATGTAGGAACCTGATTAAGAGACCCTGGCCCTATAACCCCCGAATTTCCGGAACCCTAATAAAGCCCCAAGGTTGCTGAATGAGGTTCCTACTTGGAGGGTGGGGGACTGAGTAACTGGCTATTTTAGGGACTTGTAAGTACCATAACCCCAATTAGGGTCCCTTTTCGGGTACTTATAAGACTACTTACTAACTACTTACTAAGTCCCCCGACCCCCCAAGTACACTGTATTTAGGGTTTAGGGTTTAGGGTTATATCCTTGTCACGCAAGACCAGGTCTTGGCATACTTACAGCGGCTCTCGAAGCAGAATGCCGAGCTCCTGGCGCGCATGGAGGCACTGGAGGGCCGGCAAGCGGACCAGAAAGAGGCTTCTGAGCTTTACTTAACAAGTAGGGGCTGAGTAGTACCCTTTTTTTAAAGGGCTCATTAAAGGGATCCTCAAAGGGCTTTATAAGGAATCTATACGGGTTTAGGGTCTGGCTTCTGAGCTTCACTTAACTTTACTCTTTACTGCTCTTAGAAAATGTTTCATTTTCTTATAATATATCTTCAGGGGATTGATAAGCATGCTATTTCTATTCTGGTTCTAAGTGCGACTAAGTTAAGGCGGCTGCTAGAGGGTTTTTTACAGGGTTCTAGGTTTTCTTGGTGAAGGTTTTATAAGGGCATTAAGACGTTTCGAGTTTGGCAGAGGTTTTCCATTGGCTGTATCGGCAGGTAGTTAGGGTTTGATTGAAACCCTGTCACAACCCTTGAGTTACCCTGAACCCTAAGCCCCCGAACCGCCAAACCCTAGACCCAAGCCTGTACAGTCCCCATTGTCATACTTAGAGGTTCATGGGACTTAGTAAGTACAGTCATAAATACCTTAATGGGGGTTAGAAGTAATTTTAAGTAGAGTTACCTCATTTATAAACCTAGTTACTCAGTACCATGAACCTCTAAGTAGAACCTTCAAAGTCAGGCTTTGGAAAGACGAAGGCCTGGAGAGGAGCTGAGCCCGACGCCGCTACCCAGGGAAGAGAGCCAGAGCCCTCAGAAGGAGCTGCGAGGTGGCAAGTGTTTTTGGAATTATTTTTGTACCAGGAACCCCAAATCACAATCATTTTGGAGGGTTCGGTACCCTACTTAAAGGGTCATGGGACTTAGTAACTAGGGTTATAATTAAGGTAACTATGCTTATAATTGCTTATAACCCCCATTATGGTACTTATAGCTGTACTTACTAAGTCCCAAGAACCTCCAAGTAAGCGTTCACGTACCCAAATAGTATATACTTGAGTCTTGAGCCTCCAAGTTTCCGAGATCTTTTTCCAGGGATTCCGAACGGATGCTAGTATAAATCCTGCATTACCAAAAAAAGATCAGACTGTGGGAAATATGGTTTAGTTTATTCCTTATTATGAGTAATGCAGGATTTATATCAACAGCCGAATCAGAATCATTTCGGAAGGTTCTGTAGGTTGTTTACAAGGGTTTTGTGAGTATACGTAAGGACTTTGTAAAGTGTTGTCACAACCTTTTCAAAACTTGTTTGTTGTGCAGAGGGCTTCATGTGTAGTAGTCAAAGTACACTACATGCCCAGCCTTGTTTGCTACTGTAGGCAACTATAGGGTTTTAGGGCTGTAGGGCTTTGGTTCTAAGATTTTGGAGCTACATCCTCAGTCTCGTGATTGCAGGTTTTAGGGTTTTAGGACCTTAGGTTAAGGGTTTCTTAAGGCCGCGAGAATCCGGTTTTGTTTATAGAGGTCATATCGGAGTTGCAAGAAACTAGAGGACCAGTAGAGCGCTTTAGAATACTAATGCTACGGAATGCTACAGTTGATGATATAAATCCGGCATTACTTTTAAGGACCCTAAACTATGGGAATTATGGTATATTCCTTCTCATGGGTCATGCAGGATTCATATTATCAACCGCAGTGTCGGAGTTTCAAAATTGGGGGTGCCCTACGTTCTGAAACTCCCGAACATTTCGTGGCCCTACAGCTGGAACACCAAACTAAGCCCACCCTGGACGTATAGAAATTACTATTCATCATCATTTTCGGGGCACCAGATGGTAAACCACCTGAAAGCTTGAAACTAAGGAGGCGAAAGCCTAAAACCCTAAACCCGCAAGTGCTAAGACCCGAAACCCCAAAAGCTTGGAAGCCTAAACCCTAAACCCTAAACCCCTAAACCCTAAACCCTAAACCCCTAAACCCCTAAGCCCTAAACCCTAAACTCTAAACCGTAATCCCTTCCAGAGCTGCCAGGCTCCTAAACTTTACAGCGCTGAAACCCGTAAACAGGCATCTTAGGCCCTAAACTGTAAAGCATGAACACGTGCAGTAACCCTAGGTAGCCCTTATTAGGCCTCATGGTAACCCTGGCATTACAGTTACAGTGCCCTTGACCCTAAAGCGCCCTCCGAGAAGGAGCCCTTATAGTATATTGCCCTCCCAAACCCCTTGAAGGAGCCCTTATATAGTGGCCCCTAACGTGCTTCTGTTGATGGACAAAATCCTGCATTACCCAGAATAAGGAAAATACCATAATTCCCATAGTTTAGAGTCCTTAGGGTCATGCAGGATTTATTGTAACCCTAAACCCTACACCCCTATAGATCCCTTAAAAGGGCCCCTTAAAGGTACCCTATAGATCCCTTTATTTGTCCATCAACCGTTCCGAGGCTCTGGAGTACCTCCAAGAAGGAGTTCTGCTTCGAAGCATCGCCGGCGCACCGAGGCTCCAAGGACTCGCGAGACTCCAGGGCACCTTTGCAGTGGTTTTACGAGAAACCTACCCTTTTTAGGGTCTCTCATTCTAGTTTCTTTGGTAAGTCCTTAATGAGGTGGGTTATTTGGGTCAGGGAAGGAAGTTTTTTTTGGTTTTTTTGAGTTATATTCCTACAGGGATTGTTGTTGTAGCCTTCGCAGTCCTTATATAGTTTGGGGTTTAGGATTCAGGGTTTTAGGACTTGGGTTTTTTGTGTTTAGGGTTCATGATTGGGTTCTGCGTTGTTTTACCAAGGTCCTGCAGGGATAGGTTTTGGTTAGCTTTTAAATGTGTTCATCGTTAGAACGACGTTGTTTTACCAAAGTCCTGCAGGGATGGTTTTGAAGGTTTTTAATGGAGTTATATACCGGGCTCTGGAGTCACATGCTTGAATACGTGTTTTTGGTACCTGATGCTTTACGGAACCATTATGTACTGGAAAGTCTATACTTCTTCTCCTTCCAAGTCCAGAAACTCTATAGCTTGTCATTGACTTGAAGTGGTTCAGTAGTACAGTGTTCTCGGGTTGTTAGTGTTGTATAGTGGGGATTTGTTCGGGGTAATTAAGGCTATGGGGAGATTAGAGTCATAATCAGCCAATCCCGCTATAGAATCTGCATAATGTAGGGTTCCCTTTCAAAGGCGTGTGTACTGACACAGGTTTCTTATCATCGGTGTGTAAGCATTGGGATAGTTGGGGTCTTTAGTTAGAGCCATTGCGCTTACTGAGGGAACTCTAGGGTTCCATGTCAGGTGTATACATGTATTTAGGGGCTTTAGGGCTTAGAGTTCTGAAGTATAGTGGCCGTAGAATAGGGTTCCTTTAAAGGGTAACGGTTAGGGGTCACTTAAGCCAGAAGAGCAACAATGGTTTCCAGTTATTTGGAAGGAAGGTTTAGGGTTTCCACAAAAGAGTTTGACGTTGAAGTCTGTAGGGTCTGAGGGCATAAGTCTCATATAGGGCTCTACTTCCATACATGTATCTGTGCATATCTATATATATATATATATAGATATTCACATATGTATGTATGTGTATCATACATATATATATATATATATATATCAGTATACACACGATGTGTATACATCTGTGTACACCTGCCAAGGACTCTTTGCATTCACCGGCCTGCAGCGCCGAGACCGCGACGCCCAAGACGGGCAACTCCCCTTCACTGGAGCAGCGACGTGAGCTCTTGAAGAAGGCGAGGGCCTGCAGTTCCTTCACGCCTAAACCATCTGAAATCCTAAACCCAAAACCCCTGAACCCTAAAGCCCTAAAGTGCGGGGCGGTTCCTATCAGAGCTGCCATAAGGCTTACCATATCCCATGGGAGTAATTAAGTTCAGGGTATTTGGAGTTTGGGGGTTAATGTGGGTTAAGGATGTAGGGTGCATGTTAACAGGCTAAGATCCCTCAATGGCCAATTTCTTGAAAACCTCACAACGATCCTCTGAAAAAGGCCCGCGACGACAATGCCCGCGTCCGTGCCGAACTACGGCAGCAGGACGACCGCGGACACTACAGTGACTGCGACCCCTTGCATTCTGAGGTGAAGAAACTCCAGGAGGCTCGGAAGCTGTTGCGTAGGCCCGCGTGAGCTTGGGACAAAAAAAGGTGGGTGGTTGTCAATATTAGGGTCCCGTTTTGGGTCCTTATTACAATACGGCACCTAATATTTACGATACCCACATAGGGGCCCTAATTTTGACAACCACCCTTATAGATCCCTTTAAAGAAAGCCCTTATAGATCCTTAAGAACTTAAGAGCTCCCTTAAAGGGAGCCTAGTTTTGACAACCACCCGTATGATAGTACCCTCATAGTATCCCTTACCGTAACCCTTATAGACCCCTTTAGAGGAACCCTGGGAACCCCGTGCTTGACTTCGGGAGTCCCTTGTCCGGTCCAGTGCTTGCCCGTGCTGTCCTCTGTGGTATGGTACCCCTTAAAGGAACCCCTAAAGAGGAGCCCCTAAGGGAGCCCTAATGTTTGGGTACATGGACCCTTAAACACTAATCATAGTGCTGTCCTCTGGAGTACCCCTTATCGAACCCCGAAAAGAACCCCATGGACCCTTAAACCCTAAACCCTTATGTAGAAGCCTAGGATTATAGTGCTAGAGTAGCAGCAGCAGCAGCAGCATATGTTCTTGCTGTTGTTGTTGTTGCTGCTGCTGCTGTTGTTGTTTTTGCTTCCAGCGCCCTCTTCGCCGAAGCTAAGATGCCCTGCTGCTCTGGCAGTTCCATCGGAACCCCAACCTTTCCTAAACCCTACTTGGAGGTTCATGGGACTTAGTAAGTACAGTTATAACTACCTTAACCGGGGATATGACCAATTATAAGTATAGTTACCTTATTTATAAGTACCTTAACTGGGGATATAACTAATTATGAGTATAGTTACCTTTTTATAACCCTGGTAACAAAGTACCATGAATCTCTCAGCACACTCAACTTCCAGGTTGGATTTTCGCCAGGAGCACTGAAGTCTACAACTTTGTGTAGGTCATTCGTATAGAAGCCTGAATGACTCCCGAGGTCTTGGGCACTGCGCCCGCTCTGAAACAGTCAGACATTGTATATACAAATGTATATATATATATATATATATACACATACAGATATATATATATATATATATATATGTATAGATACAGATATATAGCCCTTAATATGACCGCTAAAATACGTACGTAAACTGTTACACTGCGGAGGGCAGTACCACCATGAACACGATCAACTGCAGGATACGATGCCCCGGCCAAAGGCGAAGGATAGTATAGAACCTAGAGTATCATAGGAGGCAAAAAGGGGTTCTAGCCTATGGGGGTTTAGTAGGGATTAGGGTTCCCATACTAGGGTTCATATTCAGGAATCCCTACCCCAAGAATCTTAAACTCCCCTTTTGGCCTCCCATCAGAGTAAACCCCTAAACCTTAAGGTTTGGGCGCTATACTTCCTTAAATAGGCCTGATGAGGTCCCGATTATGGGCATTACGGCCCCCTACTTGGAGGGTCGGGGGACTTAGTAACTGGACATTTAGGGAATTATAAGTACCATAACCCAAATCAGGGTCGCTTTTAGGGTACTTATACGTCTACTTACGAACTACTTACTAAGTCCCCCGACCCCCCAAGTACCCTCACTCCAATATCTCACCTGACTAGGACCTAGAGTAGGCCCGTACTCCTTTTTTAGGGTTCAGTTTCCCTTATTCAGCAGCCTTTTAACCAAACACGGGGCACCCTTTTTGTTTCTAGGTTACTCTTGGGTCTGGGTATAGAAGCCTGAATAACAAGAGAGTTGATACTGTTACTCATACTTATAGTAATAGAACGAGTATTAATCTAGTATTCATGCTAGTTTTAGTGGAGGAAGCAGAAGAAGAATACGAATAATTGACAAGAAAAACATTCCAATGTCCCTATGCTAAGGTGGAAGAAGCAGAAGAAGAATACGAATGATTAACAGGAAAAACATTACATTCCAATGTCCCTATGTTAAGGTGCTGCAGCAAGGGAGGCGCCTCGGCGCGCTGCAGAGGCCCAGTTCCGCGACCCTGGGTAGTGCTTGGAGGGTCCTTAGGGGACTTAGCAAGGGCTCCTTTGAAGGGGACTCTAAGGGTTCCTTTAAAGGGCTCTATAAGGGTAGTATAGGGTTTAGGGTTTAGGGTTCAGGGACCTAGTAAGTAGTTAGTAAGTAGACTTATAAGTACCCTAAAAGGGACCTTAATTGGATTTATGGTACTTGTAAGTCCCTAAGATAACCAGTTACTAAGTCCCCCGACCCTCCAAGTGTCGTGTAGCTTCGAGTCCAGGACCTGCACAACCTACCACCGTCGCTTATTCCGTTGGATTTACGGTTTAGTTTACGGTTGAGGGTTCAGATTTCATGGGACTAGGTACTGCTGTCGTTGCTGTCGCAAGTGTTTGTACTTGTAGCACCATCATTGCAACACTGGGACTGGTTTGAAACATACAAATCCTCGAAAGCCCTTCTGCTCAAAGCATGGGGTAACACATACCGTACAATAACCCGATATAGAATCCTGATGGGGGCTCTTAGTCGACCCTAAACCCCTAAACCCTAAACCCTATATAGAAACTTTGTAGGAGCTGGTAGAGGAGTTTGGGATTCCTTTAAAGAATCCCCATGGAGCTGCACAGGTTTGTGCCACAGGTGCTTCCGAAGTTCATTTAGGATCCTATAGTATCTTTTTAGTGTGATATGGTATCTTGTTGGATGTTATATTATAATCGATGTTGTGGTACACTATACCCCAGAGTCCTGTTCCAATAATTTAAGGCCTCTATAAAATTGGGACTTGACGAGGTGTGCGTAGAGAAGCTTCAGCAGCTGCAGCTTCAGCAGCCTGCGCGAGGGGTCGGGCGCCGACGGCTTTTGGTTTTGTTGCTTCGGGTTAAGGGTTTATAGGCTTAGGGTTTGGGTTTAAGGTTTCGGGTTGTGGGTTTCGGGGCTATGTGGATCTTGCGGCTTGTTGCTGTAGGGCTTCAGCGGAGTCCCTGGGGCTGTTGCTCTTCATGGTCTTTCGGGTTTCGGGGCCTTGGTGTTCACGGTCTTTGACGTGGACGTACCACTGTCAGGCGAGAGAATGATTCGCCTCACAGATAAATATTAAAGTATACCGGAATATGCTGTTATTTCATTAGACCATGCTAATATACAAAATTTTACTATCGTACTCCAGCACTGTCCTTTCAAGGTCACAGCTGTGAGTACCCGGACTCTTCTCGCTGACATCTCTGCGGGAAAGACCCTGGTTGTCAGGTCCTGATTATGGGCATTACGGCCCCCCTACCCCCCCCCTCTCCCTACCCCCCGAAGGGTCTCTATGATCCAATGTTGCTAGGGTTCCTTAAAGGGATCTATAAGATTCTATAAGGGGTCTTTATGGTTCTTTTGAGGATCTAAATTGTTTAGAGTTTAGGGGACTCCAAGATCCCTTAATTAAGGAACATTCCTAAAACTGTAGTAGGATCCCTAATATGGTTGCAAGAAAATTCCTTAGTTCAGGGATGCTGGAGTCTCTGGGTTTAAGGCTAGAGACTACGGGCTGGGGTTTCGGGGATTAAAGTTTTAGAGTTTTTGCGTTTTCGGGTTTGGGATTCAAAGGCTTTAGGGGTTTGGGGATTGAAATTGGGCTCTCAGGAGCCTACATACTCTTGATGTCAGAGCAAGAACGTGATTAGCAAATACATACATACATATGTATATATATATACATATATATATATATATATACATATATATATATACATATATACATATATATATATATATATATAGTGAATATACACAGATGTATATATATATATATATATATATATATATATGAATATATATATATATATATATATATATATAGCCATCCATACGCTTTATTCTGTGCATGTACGTATGCGGGTATACATATATACACCATACACCATTTTTTAGATATGAACATATTCTTTTATTAATCTACTAAGGCATTAACGTTTTCATATGTTAATACCTAGTTATAATTGTAGGACAGGACCTGGAAGGGATTTGGATGCCAACGGAGGAGGCCACTGACGACAGCAGAAAGTTAAGCGGCCCCTCTACACCATGGACGGCAGCCCCACGGAAGACCCACCTTCCCCCAAAAAGTGCGGCGCGCAACTGCCACACCTATGGAGGGCGGGACCAGCACAGGTTACACGTGCTGAAGGCCGTGGATAGAATCAAAGCCATCCTCAAGCCCGTCAAGGGCAAAACCTTGTACCGAGCTGGCATGGAAGAAATCGAGAACCTCGGTGTGCCAAAGAACGTTGGTGACACTAATGAAGACATTTCGCAGAAGGCTCATGTGGTAGGATTAGCAGTAGTTCGGTAAGGTGGTTCATACACAGTCTAAGGCAGACTACTTCACTTGACTACAGTAGCCTCGACCCTCCATGGCATTAGTTAACTCTTATCAACACCAACCAGGAAGCTATAGCCCTAGGCCCTAAGCCCAAAAGCCTTTAGGCCCAAATCACAAAGTTGAACTTTGAATGGCGAACCAACCCCCAGCCCTGAAAGCCGAAGCGGCCAGACAAGCTGAAGCTGCGAGAAATGAACCGAAGCGCCAACCCCTTGAAGCCACCGCCAAGAGGCCCACTTAGAGGTTCATGGTACTTAGAGTAACTAGGGTTATATATAAGGTGACTATACTTCTATTTGGTAATATCCTCAGTTACGGTACTTATAGCTGTACTTACTAAGTCCCATGAACCTCCAAGCACCCTGCTTTGCCGACATCTCTTGAGGAAGATCAACTCAACGATATAGCGCAAACCCTGAAATATCAACCGTATTCAGCTTGTTTATAACGTTGCAAAACCCACATGAGACCTTCAACAACCCAGACAAAGCCCTGGAAAGCAATTTACAGCCGCAAAATCACACCAACTACCCCATCAGCAAACAAACCCCCTTTGACCCCAAACCCTCAAAGCTTAAACCCTGAAGCGCACGAACCCTAAACCCTAAACCCTACACCCACCGAAATCCCCTAAATTCTAAACCCTCCCTGTAGCCTTAACATGCTACCTTTTAGGGTAGTATATAGGAA